TAGGGCGGGGACTAAAGGCGTGCGCCACCACTGCCCAGATTTTTTTTCTTTTTTTTGGGGGGGACGAAAGTTATTTTTTAAGTACAAACATGAAACATTTTTGTGCATTTTGGAAAAAAATAAAAATAAAAAACAACCTGGGGACTCAAACCTATACAAAGAATTAAACACAAAGAAGGAATACTGGGAGAGAGAAAAGTCTTCCCCAGGGAATAGCATACCAATTGGTTATCCAATAACAAATTGTCAGCTCTGGAAACATACCTACGAGTAACATTGTACAGACTGAGCAGTTTATAGTTAGTAATGTATATATATCTATTCATGTCATAACACTGAAGAAAAGGTCTGGAGTACAATTGAAGAGAGGGAGGAGTGATAATATAAACAAAGGAGTTAAGACCATGATGGGGAAACCCACAGAATCAGCTGACCAAAGCTAGTGAGAGATCACTGACTCAGGTCTGACAAATGGGGAACTTGCATAAGACCGAATTAGACTTCCTTAATGTAGGTGACAATGGTGTGACTGGGACAATATGTGAGGCCACTGGCAGTGGGTCCAAGATCTAACACTAATGCACAAACTGACTTAGTGGAGCCCATTCTAAGTGGAGAGATACTTTGCTCAGCCTAGACACAAGAGTGTGGGGGTGGAGAGGTGCCTTGGTCCTGCCTCAGAGAGATGATGGGACTCAGTAGACTTCCTGTGGGGCCTCTCTGAGGAGCAGATGGGAGGAATTGGGGGTGGGGAGAGTAGAAGGAGAGGAGGGAGGGGGAACTGGAACTGGGATTGGAATGTAAAAAATTAAAAAAAACAAAAAACTCTGTTTCTTCTTCGCTCTCTGTTTCTGCTTCTCTTCTCTCTCTCTCTATGGCGACCGGCCATGGTGGTCAGCCATAACCCCAGTTTCTCTTCTGTCTTAGTTTCCCTACTCTGCCGGGCCTCTAATAAAATGGTTAATATGTCTCAAAAAAATTTAAAAAAGAAAAAAGCTTTCAAAAAGGATGAAAAACACGACATAAATTTGAGAAATGAGATGGAGGGGTATATGGAAGAGTTTTGAGGAAAAGGAATGCAGAAATTATAATGATTTAATTATAATCTCAAAAATCAAAACCTCAATTTTCATGGAATTATACTTCCACATAAAGTCAATGTATTCTTTATTCAATGTTTTACCAAAAGTTTGCTCACTATTTTAGAAAACCAGGTCACCAATGTCAGTACTGCTTTTGACATCTGAATTACCAGTAAATGTCATTGGCTGGCAGTGTAGCTATCAAATCCACAGTGATCCTATTTATGGGTGTGGCTGGCAGACTGTTTCATTGCCTGGTTTACTTGCACCCAAGCGTTCACATTTTGAAGTACACATTACTATTAATTACTCTTGCTTTACAGTGAGTGCATTATATGTAGTGTTCATTGTCATGAAATGTGGGCATTTTATGCATGAGTTTTGTTTTGAACTGATCCAGGGCATGTCTTGTTTGGTTGAGGAAAGTGTACCTAATAGATGGTGCTCAATGCTGATGACGAAAAGAGGTGGTTTGCAAAATTTCTTCAGGCTATTTTGATAGGTCTCCCCTAACCCTCATTTCCAGAGCATGGTCTAAAAGCAGGAGGTGTGGACAAAAATTCTTCTTGAGGGAGGGGTCCAGAACTCAGCTGCTAGGTTAATGGCTGATGAAATTTACTCAAGAGCTGGGCAAAGGTGAAAGAGCCATGTCCTGCTCCCAAACCCTTATTTCTCTCTCTCTCTCCGCTTCACTGACACCCCCGCCCCCTGCCCCCAGAGCCAGCGCACTCCACCCTCACCCTGATCTCTTACTTTACTCAACTAGCCCTGGGGCAGCCAACACACAATCAGGGCAGCATGAGCCGGTCACCACTCCATCCTAGTCCACTCCTGTCTGTGAGCTCCCAGGACGCCCCTGCCCGCCTGCCAACACAGCTGCCCCCTCTGCAGAATCCCTCTTCCCACCCATGGGCCTCTTGGTGTGGGCCTACCACCTGGGGTCTCAGCTGTCTTCTGGCTCTTCAGGTAGGAGGTAGAGGTGCAGGAGTTGGCACTGGCTGAGATGGGTATTTGGAGGGAGTCATGAGAAACCTAGATAGGTATTTCTGAAGCTCGCCCCTCTGTACTCCTCTATCGGCAGCATTTCCTGGTCCTGGCATCTCTGCTCTGTGCCTCCCACCTGCTACTGCTTCACAATCTTCCCCCAGGAGGGCTCTCATACTCACCTGCTCAGCTCCTGGCTTCCAGTTTCTTTTCCTGTGGTGTGTCTACGGTCCTGCAAACTTGGATGGGCAGCAGGTGAGAGGAACTCCTTTGAGACAGGGAGTAGGCTTCCAGAAAGAGACTTAAGGGAGTCCTGTTAACTGTCACATGTTTCCAAACCTGCTGGGGCTGCTATTCATACAGGCTGCCTCTAGTCCAGGCTCCATCTTTAGAATTTCTTATCCCTGCACTGGTGCTGACAAACCAGAAGCTACCTCTGACCACCAAGACACCTGGAAATGGTGAGTACAGAGTAAAGGCAGGCTAATGGCAGAAGTACCAGAAGTATGTGCTGGCCGGAGGTTGGGCAGTTAGTACTGGGTATTGTAGAGAGAGGTCTTTGGGGTCATACCAGGCATCAGTTAGGACAGGAGAGCACTGAGTCTCCATTCCATTCACACCTCTCTGTACCCCAAACTTGCAGCTTCCCTCTCCCTGCGCCTGTGTAGTTTGACAAGCTGCCATGGCCTGGAGCTCTGGAACACTTCTCTCCGAGAGGTGAGTGCCTGGGAAAAGATAGTGGAAGGACTGGATAGTCCCAGCATGGAGATGCTCTTATTTACATTATGCAGACACTGATGCTAAGGGGGAAGGAGCAAGGCAGAGAACCCGGGTTCAATTCCCAGCACCCACATGACAGCTAACACCTGTCTCTAACTCCAATATCTGACACCCTTACACAGACATACATGCAGGCAAAATACCAATGCCAATAAAATAAAAGTAAATAAATTACAAAAAGGAAGAAAGAAAGAAAGAAAGAAAGAAAGGGAAAGGAAAGGAAGAAAGAAAGAAAGAAAGAAAGAAAGGGAAAGGAAAGGAAGAAAGAAAGAAAGAAAGAAAGAAAGAAAGAAAGAAAGTCCAAGCTAAAGTTAACTTGATTGAGCAGAAAGTCTTCTACCCATCCTCTCCTCTACTCCATCAGGTGTCGGGGGCAGTGGTGGTATCCGGGCTGCTGCAGGGCACAATAGGACTTCTAGGGGTGCCTGGCCGTGTGTTCCCCTACTGTGGGCCACTGGTGCTGGCTCCCAGCCTGGTTGTAGCAGGGCTCTCTGCCCACAAGGAGGTGGCACAGTTCTGTTCCGCTCACTGGGGCCTGGCTTTGCTGTAAGTGTGTCCTCAGAGGTGGTGGGGGTGGCACCCAGGGGGTGTGTAGGCCTGGGGAGGACAGAGCTTCCAGCTTATCAGATTCCATAGACACCTGGGTAGGGATAGCTGGTTTTCGATTTGGAATCTGAGGCTTTTCTTGAATTCATCCAGTCTCCTGATGTTTGTAGTCACATGCTATGGTACCTCAGGGTGCCTCCCTATCCCTTGTATTTGGAGATTCTTCCCTGGGACCTCCTTTTATGATGTTCTGCTCACCTGTATTGCCTTCATTCTTGATTCTGATGCTTCTGACCCACAAAACTCCTCTCTTTCCTAGGCTCATCCTGCTCATGGTGGTGTGTTCTCAGCACTTGGGTTCCTGCCAGGTACCGCTGTGCTCCTGGAGGCCAGCTTCAGCTTCTTCCACTCACATTTATCTTCCTGTCTTCCGACTTCTTTCGGTATGCAGGGGCTCTGAGCAGATGAAGTGAGAAGGGCTGACAGACGTGAGGTGGCACACACCTGTAATTTCACACTGGGCAGGTGGAGGCAGAAGGATTCAGGAGTTCAAGTTCTGCTATTTAGGAAGTTTCAGCCCAGCCTGAAATATGTGAACAACAACAACAACAAAAACAAAACAAGCCTGGCAGTGGTGGCGCACACCTTTGATCCCAGCACTTGGGAGGCAGAGACAGGCGGATCTCTGTGAGTTCGAGACCAGCCTGGTCTACAAGAGCTAGTTCCAGGACAGCCTCCAAAGCCACAGAGAAACCCTGTCTCGAAAAACCAAAAAACAAACAAGCAAAAAACCACCACCACCAATAACAAAAAACTCAAACCAAACCAAAACAGGATATTTCTGCTCTTCCAGAGGACCCCAGTTTGGCTCCCATCACACATGTGGGTGGCTCATAACTGCCTGTAATTCCTGCTCCAGAAGCCAAGGCCCTCTTCTAGCCTTCAAGCACTGCCCCCCCTCATACACAAATAAAAATAAAATAGTTGAGCCAAGCATGGTGGTTCACGCCTTTAATCCTAATGCTTGGAAGGCAGAGGCAGCCAGATTTCTGTAAGTTTGAGGCCAGCCAGGCCTACATAGAGAGTTACAGGATTGCCAGGGTTACATAGACAGAGCCTATCTCAAAAATAAAATCAAATCGTTGAAACAGACCAAAGTGTGTGGGACTGACATGGAATGTTCTATTGGTCTCCTACTTCTGAGTTTCTGGTGACCCCGCCCAGGCTGACTCAGAAGGTTCTAGGGGAGGAGGGAGCTTTTTTCCATCTCAATATTGTCCTTCAGGTGCTTACCCCTGTGGCCTGTGTGTGGATCATCTCTGCCCTTCTGGGTCTGAGTGTTAACCCCCTGCATCTGTCTGACTCCACTGAGGCACCATGGTTTTGGCTGCCTCACCCAGGTAGGTTTTCTCCTATGCTCCCATTCTCTGGCTCAAATCAAGGCTTCTATTTTTTTGAACTCACAATTTAACAAACTTCAGCCAGGTGAGATGGTTTATATATGCAATCCCAATACTTGGGAAGTGGAGGCAGGAGGATCAGGAATTCAAGGTCACCTGCAGCTGCATATCAAGTTCAAGGCCAACCTGGGCTACATGAGACCCTGTATCAAAAGAAAAGTTGCACAAAAGATTTAATGGAGCTCACCTCTCACGTTGGAATTAAATCTGTTTGCTCAAAACACAGGTGGAGAAATTGCCAACTTGAGGGTTGCCCCCCACTTCAGTGCAGGTGTATTATTTGGGTCCTTTGAACCTTGTGCATACTCAGGGAGTACCTTACACTGAACTCTACCTCAGCCCTTCATTTAACAGTTTAATTCTGGCCCGTTGAGTTCTAATGAGGCCCTAAGTACATGGTAGGCATAGTATTGAATACAGCAATAATAATGTCTGCTCCATGGAGCTGACAGTCTATTGGGGGTATATTGATAGGAATCAAATAAGCAACTAAGTAAATGTGAATTTGTCATTGTAGTAAAAGTACCTAAGTAAAACTAGAATTTGTGGTGAGAGAAAATAATGGGGAATTTGATGCTATTAGAGGGTTGAGAGAAGTGTGTGTGTGTGTGTGTGTGTTTTTTTTTTTTAAACTTGGGTTTTTTTCTTTTTAGAAGTGTTCTTCTTAAATATATATTTTATTATTTCTTGACATGTTCGTTACTATGCATCTTGATCCTATCCAGTTCTTCCTCCCACTGCCCACAACACAGCCCCATACCATCTCCATGTCCTTTAAAAAACTGACTCATTGAGTCTGATTAGTGCTGCCTGTATGGGTACGGGGCCATCTGCTAGAGTAAGGGCAACCTACTAGGGTCTACACCTCTGAAGAAAAACGACTCTCCCTTCCCCAGCAGCTATCACCTAACAGAGCTCCTCAGCTAGGGGTGAAGCCTCATGAGCCTTTACCTCATTCATGCTTCCTTGCTGGGATCTTGATCTTGTACAGGTCTGGTGCAGGTAAGCATAACTGCTGTGAGTTCATGAGTGCAATGGTCACATCCTGTCCTGAAGACAGTATCTCACGGCACTGCTCCCCATCCCCCAGTTCTTATATCCCCCGCCCTACTTTTTTTAGAAACAGGATCTCACATAGTCTAGGTTGACCCTGAACTTGCAATACAGGTCTGGTGCAGGTAACCATAACTGCTGTGAGTTCATGAGTGCAATGGTCACATCCTGTCCCGAAGACAGTATCTCACGGCACTGCTCCCCATCCCCCAGTTCTTACATCCCCCGCCCCACTTTTTTTTAGAAACAGGATCTCACATAGTCTAGGTTGACCCTGAACTTGCATTGTAATCAAGAATGGCCTTAAACTCCCTGTACCTTGCAAGTGTTGTAATTACAGGGATGCATCACCACACTTGAATGTGGTGGTGGAAATAATTCTTGAAGAAATGAGATGCGATGTAAGAGGTGGCCAGAGGAGGAGCTAGTTGGACAGGACACAGGAGATATCTTGCTAGGTAAACACCACATGCAAGGGCCCTGTGGAAGGAACACAGCAAGTCTAGGGCCTAAAACAAGGCTAGTGTGTTTGAAGTAAAGTGGAATGGGATGGGAAATGAGACTAGGAACAGAACCAACGGTGACCTTGTAGATGACAATGAAGAGAAGGGTCTCTCTCCTAGAGTTCAGTGGTTTTGTGCCCCACAGTATTATCCTGAAAAGTTAGAGCATCCGGGATTCTTGTGGAACAGGCATTTAGAGGCAGAGGAATGCTCCAGGCTTGAATCAGTCTCTAGATGACTCCTTCTTCTTCCTCAGGTGAGTGGGATTGGCCCTTGTTGACACCTAAGGCCCTGGCTGCAGGCATCTCCATGGCTTTGGCAGCCTCCACCAGTTCCTTGGGTTGTTATGCCCTGTGTGGCCAGCTGTTGCATTTGTCTCCTCCACCGCCACATGCCTGCAGTCGAGGGCTGAGCCTGGAGGGGCTGGGCAGTGTGCTGGCAGGGCTGCTGGGGAGCCCCCTGGGCACTGCATCCAGCTTCCCTAATGTAGGCACAATGAGCCTTTTCCAGGTAGGTGGATCTGAGACAGGACTGAGGGGATTGGACGTACAGGGGCAGGAGCTCATACTGGTTAACTGTCAGCTGGGCCGGCTTTCAGTCAGGCAGTTCACTGGGGGAGGTGACTAGAAGTGCTAAGTGCTATGAATGTGGAGAAACAGGAAATCGGTATGTCAGGTGCATCGGGAGCTCTGCCAAGGCTCATTGCAGTGAAGAATGAGTCAGAGAAAGCCCTGTTCTCTTGGTAACTACATAAAAAAGTAAGTATATATAGCATAAGTTGAGAGTAATAAGCACTATCATGAAAGCATTGGTGTATGGGCTTAGCAAAGAGGTACCTTTGGCTAGGAGTGGCTGGGATGCTTAGAAGGGTCACATTTCAATTGGGATACTAAGGATGAAAGGGAGTGGGCCAGGCAAAGATCTGGTATGATCCAAGGAGATGGCTGTGTTTTCTGGTGTCTCTTCTTCACGCAGACTGGTTCACGGCGAGTAGCCCACCTAGTGGGGCTGTTCTGCATGGGCCTTGGGTTCTCCCCAAGGCTGGCTCAGCTATTCACCAACATTCCACTGCCTGTGCTTGGTGAGTGAATAGATGCAAAGACAGGTATTAGAATACTGCTTGGCCTAACCAGTTGGCTAGGCTGGTGCCATCTCCTTCTAACTAACTTCTCTGAATGGATATGGACTTATGCTCTTGTTTTCTTAGCCCAACTGAGTCTCTTGCAGACTCAGAAACAAGCCTGTTGGTTATCTTTCCTCATTACAACCTGCCTGTTCTACAAACCCTGAGCTTTGCCCTCTTCCCATTGCCTTGTTTTCTTCTGTATGAGGCAGGTGGGGTACTGGGAGTGACCCAGGCGGTAGTTCTGTCTGCTGGATTCTCTAGCTTCCACCTGGCTGACATCGACTCAGGGAGAAATGTCTTCATCGTGGGATTCTCCATTTTTATGGCCTTGCTCCTGCCAAGGTGGCTCCGGGAAGCCCCAGTCTTGCTCAACACAGGTAGGTGGGGTGGAGAAGAAAACAGGAGTAGGGTTGAAGCTTTAGACCAGTGGCTCTCAACCTGTAGGTCATGACTCCTTTGGGGGTTGAATGACTCTTTCATAGGGGTCGTCTAAGATCATCAGAAAGCACAGGTATTTATGATTCACAACAGTAACAAAACTACAGTTATGAAGTAGCAGCAAAAATAATTTTATGGTGGTGGTGGGGTCACCACAACACGAGGAGCTGTGTTAAAGGGTCACAGCATCAGGAAAGTTGGAACCACTGCTTTAGGCTCTCTGAATTCTTGGTCTCACAGTGGGATTTTGTATGTACTCATTTATTTAGCAAATACTCATTGATCTCTGTGCTCCTGTTTTTGTGCTTTTGTGTCTTGGTTTTATTTCTGTTGCTGTGGTAAAACACCGGGACCAAAGGCAACTTGGCTGGGAAGTTCATTCAGTTAACAATTCCAGGTCACATTCCATCATTGAGGGAAGCCCTAGCAGGAACACAAGGCAGAATCTTGAAGGCAGGCCTGCTTGCTAATATACACATATTACCTTCAAAGAAGGAACTCCCTTCACAGCCAAAGTACAGCAGAACCATGGGGGATGCTGTCTTGCACTCAGATAACTTTCTTACACACTTGAAGACCACATGTCTTGGCCACACGATGGGCCAGGCTCTACTAAATTAACCACTGATACAGACAATCTCCCACAGACTTCCTCACAAGCCAATGTGACCCAGGCAATTCCTCAATTGGGACTCACCTCTCAGATGACTCTAGGTGGTGACAAGTTGACAGTTAAAGCTGACAAGTTGCAAAACTCCTCCCCTTAAACGATTTTTTAATTTTTTTTTAAAGCGAACTAGGTCAAGATGCAAAAGTACTTGCAGGTTGTACAGTATTATGAAAGAGGTGACTTGCTCAGGAACATAACAAGAAAGGTTAAGATAAGAGCTGTAAGCAGGGCATGATGGATCATGCCTTTCTTTAATCCCAGCACTTGGGAAGCTGGTGGGATCACTGTGATTTTGAGGCCAGTAGTCTACACAGTGAGTTCCAGGCCAGTCAGGGGTACACAGAGAGACTTTGACAAAAGCAAAAACAAACAACAAAGGACCCGAGGTACTCAAGGGCAAGAGTAGCTCTTCCTGAGGTGATTTAGTACAACTAAATTGGTCTTTGAGGATGGAAAAAACTTAAACCTACTTGGCAAAAGGCCATTTGTGTGTGTGAGAGACAGGGTCTCATTTTGGAACCTAGACTGGTTTCAAACTCTTGGCAATCCTCCTGCTTCAGACTCCCAAGTGACAAGATTATAGATGTAAGCCGTATGGACAGCTGATAAGGTCATCTTGATCATGATTCCATCATATACAAAGAGAAAAGCTAGGATTATGGGACAGAAGTAGTGTATCCTGAAATCTGAAAACAGCATGGTTTATTTAGAGCAGTGGTGTGTCCACCAGGGGTGATTTTGTTTCATGTGGAACATCTGGCAATGTCTGGAGACATTTTTTTGGGTTGTCACACATGGGAGAAAGAGTATTGTATTTTGTATGTTTGCTTGAGATCCCCTACCTCTGCCTTCCCAGTGGTGGGATTGAAGGTGTGCACCACCGTGTCCGGAGAGAAAAAGGACTGTTACAGGCATTCAGTACTTAGAGAGGTTGTTAAGCATCCTTCAATGTACTGGACAGCTCCTTCCAACAGAATTATATGGTCCGAAGTGTTAGTAGGACTGGGAGGCTCAGGCTAGAGCACCAAAGGCCGGAAGTGGGAGAGATGGGGGGCTTTTTAATGCCAAACTTCCAGAGAAAGGGAGCTTGAGACAAAGAGTATCTGGAAGGTATCTGGGTGCTTGGAAAACACGGTGTTAAGAAGGGCCTTAGGGCGGGAAAGGGACAAAAGTGGGATGGAAAGATGGCTTAGTGAAACCTGTCCCTCGGAAGTGGGAGAGATGGGGGGCTTTTTAATGCCAAACTTTCCAGAGAAAGGGAGCTTGAGACAAAGAGTATCTGGAAGGTAACTGGGTGCTTGGAAAACACAGTGTTAAGAAGGGCCTTAGGGTGGGAAAGGGACAAAAGTGGGATGGAAAGATGGCTTAGTGAAACCTGTCCCTGGTTCAAGACTTAGTTTAGGTCCAAAAGGGAAGACACATTGCCTTGGACAATATCAGTTACCTTCCTGCCTGGTCCCAACCCTTTGTAGGCTGGAGCCCCTTGGATATGTCCCTGCGTTCTTTGCTGGCAGAACCAATTTTTCTAGCTGGTCTTTTGGGCTTTCTTCTAGAAAACACCATTTCTGGTAAGTTGGAACCAGGTCCTAGGGGAGTGGCTGGGAAGTCATTACTCCTTTGCTTGGGCAGTGAGCAGACTAGCCCCTCTTTTAACTTATTTATTTTATTTTATTGATATAGGGTTTCTCAGTGTAATAGTCTTGGCTGCCCTGGAACTCCATTTATAGACCAGGCTGGCCTGGAACTTACTGAGATCCACCTGCCTCGGCCTCCCAAGTGCTGGGATTAAAGGCATGCACCACCATGCCTGGCTTATTTATTTTTAGGATTTATTTTTATTTTAAATTAAGTGTATGTATGTGTGTCTGTGGGTATATCCACACGAATATACACCACCCACTCCACCAGATGTGGAGCTACAGGCAGTTGTAAGCCATCTGATACTGGTGCTGAGCCTTGGAACTTGGGCCTTCTATAAGAGCAGTGCCAGCTCTTAACAGCTGAGCTATCCCCTCCAGCTTGACCAATCTCTCTTTTGCAGGTACTCGGGTTGAGCGAGGCCTAGGTCAAGGGCTGCCAACTTGTTTCACTGCCCAAGAAACGCAGAAGTCCAGGGAGAATTCTGCTCAAGAGTATGGGCTTCCATCAGCCATCAACAACCTGTGTTCCTGCATCCCACAGCCTCTCCATTGCCTCTGCCCAATGCCTGAAGACCCTGAGGATGAGGAAGGACGGCCCTCTAAAACAGGAGAGACAGCCAACTTGTTGCCTGACTCTGAGGAGTTATGCCCTATAGCTAACAGAGAAGGGTTTAGGTCCCAGTGATTAGCCAAGAGCACCATTTTTGTCTTTATTAGTTTGGCAGTAACTCCCAGCTTGTTGGAGTCCTGCCTCCAAGGCAATACTTTCTCCCAGTGAGGAAGTGTATGTGGTCCACCTAGATGCACCATTTCCCAGTAGAATGGGCTGCCTTTCCTCCTCTTTATCAGGCTAACGTGTTCAGATACTGGGGCCCTTGATTTAGAGGGTGAATGAGTGAATAAATGATGTTTTTGCCTGTGAACTGTCAATGCCCCTTAAATGAACTCTAGCATTCGCCATTTCCTAGTAGAATGGGCTGCCTTTCCTCCTCTTTATCAGGCTAACGTGTTCAGACACTGGGGCCCTGTATTTAGAGGGTGAATGAATGTATTTAGAATGTTTTTGCCTGTGAACTGTCAATGCCCCTTAAATGAACTCTAGCATTCAAATATTATATGTAGTGCTTCCCACGAGCAAGGTCCTGCATCCGCGGATTTGAATGTGACAGGGACCATGCCCTCTCCCTGCATTTAAGATTTAAATTCGTAAGTGACAGGGACCATGCCCTTTCCCTGCATTTAAGATTTAAATTCGTAA